GGCCTTGCCCAGAGGGGAGTCCGAAATTGGAACCAGGGGAACTCCCTTACAGGAGCCACCCCTGTAGACCCGCTACCAAAACCCTGCCAGACACCAAACCACCGCAACAGGGTAGTTTCTGAACCACACGGTGACTGCATCCATGCCAAGTCCCGTGCTTTGTCCTCTTTTCATTATGGAAGATCTAAACCAGTTGAGGTGGATCATCTTCCACTGTCCTCTTCCAACTTCTTTTGTGTATCTAAAGAAGACAGACAAAGTCTTCCATAATTTTCAAGGCAGTAAGACAGTAGCTGTTTGACACATCACTAAAATCCATGGAAAATTTCTTTAGACCCCAGGATTTCACTCAAGTGGCTGCAGAATCAGAATGAGAACAATCAAGAGATATAATAGCAACTTTGATCCACACCACAAATATTTTAACCTTTAAGCTCTGTTAGCAATTTTAAAATGTCAAGAGGTATGTCAAGTTCTTAATACCCAAGTCTATGTATTTAATTGTCAACAGGCCAAATATCCAAAACAAGAGAGTTATATTAATTCCAGCTGGACCTCAAATTAAAATCTGTTGAATAATCATGATAGATCTTCCTCTTAAACTAGGGATTAGTGCTTGTTTGGCCTACTTTTTAACTGTATACTTATTGATTTTCTAGAACACCTACTGCACTGTTCATTTTAGCTTTAATTTCAAAGCAGTCAAGATTATGTTACATCATTGATCTGCACTAGCAGAAGACTCAATTTGCTCAGTAATAAGCAACTTAGGTCAAAGGCCACGACTGAGAAAAGACAAGGGTATCGTTTGATGTCATGTCAATCAGAAACAGCTCTACTGAAATCAATTGAGTTACATTTGTCTCAAATCGGTGTGAAAGAATTCTGCGTTTGCAGAATTTGGATTACGTGGCAGTCAGGAATCCAGCTTTATTAGTCTGTAGCAAGAAGCACTACAGACTACGAAGTTAAAATACTAGATCTGCTATATTGCCTTTTTAACCAAAATGGATGTTATTCTCTTACTAGCAAATAAAATTCATGTCATTGTTTCAGCTTACTGTCTTGCATTGCGTTATCTAATCTGCTTTGCAGTATGAATTCATAGATTCTGTAATTTTGCATTAGGTAATTCATCTGAGGTAAGAAAATAGTAATTAGTGTCCTACTTTTTGAAGGAAAAAAACCCCACAAACAAAACCCCACAACTATTTGCAACTATTAGCAAACTTTTGGATAGGAAAGGTTTTATATTTATTAACTCTCATTTTCCATAGAAACATGCATTTCTAGTAGTCCTAGAACACATGCAATTTTAAAAGCATATTCCTGACTATACAGCCACAAGATGATTTTCAGGAAGGTCTTAATGTGGGAATTTTAATTTGGCTTGTTCACAGAACTGTCTCGAAGAATCGCATTCGATACAGCCCTGGAGAGAAGAGGAGCCCAGGAGAGCTGGCTTATTTTTGAGGATCACCTCCTCCAAGCTCAAGAACAGTCCTTCCTGATAAGTGCAAAACCAAGCAAAGATGGCAGGAGGCCTGCGTGGATGAACATGGAGCTCCTCACTAGACTCAAACATAAAGAGGCAGCATGCAGGAATTTGGAGCAGGGACAAGAGACGCAGGAAGAATATAAAGACACTGTCTGAGCACACATGGCTGGGGTTAGGAAAGCCAAAGCCCTTCTGAAGTTAAATCTGGTGAAGGATGAGAAGGCTAACAAAAAAGGCTTCTACAGGTACATCAGCAGCAACAGGAAAGCTATGGAAAATGTGTGCCTGCTGCTAAATGGGGTATAGGACCTTAGGTATGGGACCTGTTGACAAAGAACACAGAAAAGGTCAAGGAACTCAGTGCCGCCTTTGTCTCTAATGGTCAGATTTGCCTTCAGGAATCCCAGACCCAAGACCAGAAAGTCTGGAGCAAGGAAGACTTACTTTTGGTGGAGAAAGATCAGGTTAGGGAACATTTAAACAAACTGGACACATGGACCCGATGGGATGCACCACAAATGCTGAGAGAGCTGGCTGATGCCACTGAAGGCTTGTTTACCTTCACTTTAGCAAGGCTTCTGACACTGCCTCCCGTAACATCCTCATAGACAAACCGATGAAATATGAATGAGATAAAGAGAGGGTGAGGTATACTGAGAGCTGGCTGAACTGCAAGGCTCAAAGGGGTTGTGATTGGCAGCACAAAATCCATCTAGAGGCCAGCCGCTAGTGGTGTACCACAGTGGCTGATACTGGGACCAATACTGTCTAACATCTTTATTAATAACCCAGGGTGTGGGACAGAATGCACCCTCATGAATTTTGCAGATGATACCAAACTGGGAGGAGCTGTTGATACACCAGATCGTTGCACTGCCATTTGACAGACTGAGGATTGGACGGACAAGAGTCTGTGCTGGTTTTGGCCAAAACCAGATGTGGCATGAAAAAATGATGCAGTATTTCCCAAATGTGCATCCACCGAACTGGCAGTGTATTTTTGTAGGAATACATCGATTCCATTAAACTTCTCAAGAAGTAAATGGGGGAGGGGGAAGGGAGGTTATTTCATATGAAGAATTTATGTCCTCCTTTGTTTTATTCAGAGTAAATGTGAGAACGCAAGTCATCTTATATACTACTTACATCTTACTTCCAGTCTAAATTTAGCTGAAATACAACACAGAAAGCAACATAGGGAAGATTTTTTGTTGTTTTTTAAATTTTAGCAGACATGAGAAACATTAGATAATTTATCTGAGTGATGTGGTCTATATCACATACCAGTAAATATAATCTAAGCAACTACCGTTCGTGACAGCCACTCAGCAGCAGCAGAAAGCTTAGAAGTCATAAATTATGTTTCAAACCCATTCAGTTGTTTGCAGCAGCAAATTCTAGTCTTTCAAATTCACACCACCCTAAAATAATATTTTATTTCACCACAAAACAAGCACATTTTTTAGGGCTGTTCTGACCCAAACTAGTCATGCTCATTTACGCACAGTCTGAAAAGCTGTCATTATAAGGCTTAAATATTTATCATACTAAAAACATGTACACTTACATAATCATGAGCCAAAATAAAAAGAAACACTGGCAAAATGGGAGATCAATAACTGATCATTAGTCTATATAGCTCTTCTTCTGAAAGCAATTAATTTGCACTTATTTTAATATTAAATGAATCACCAGAGGATGATCTTACTGATTATAAATGCAGCCTGAGACAGCCACCATAGCCTAGGATGACTAATGTGAAGACATACAGAAGAGATTCAGGCCCTCTACTCTGTAAAGTAGTATCAACAACTTCCGCTAATCAAGATGACAGACAAGTGCCAAGAATCATCTGAAAAAAACCAGGAATTGTTTAAGTGACATGAGGTTATATTGTTGTGGCATACGAGCGAAACATTTTAAATGCTTTTTAAATAAACTATAAACTGGATACATAAAGGTGATCCTACTATATCTCAGATCTAAAACTTTAAATGAGATATTTCTCAACCTGTTTACGTTGTCTCTAAATATAGACAGTCCCAATGCTTACTGTACCAAACTTTTTATTGTTTCAAACAAACTTCTGTACAAAAACATCAAAGCAGGCAAAGAAATTCAGTGACTTCGGCAAACAGCACATGACAACTCACGGAATGCTTTAAGGTTTACATTTTTATTATACAAGTGACAAACAGCTTTCCTCTGGGCTACTTAAAGATAAGACTTCATTGTTTGACAAACAATTGCAGGTAAGCGCGTATTAACTTCAGTTACCAAAGCTCCACAGAATGACCTGTCATCCACCCAGATTTACCTAACTGGAAGTGGCTATGAACAAAGCAGGGTTTTCCCTAATATACATTTTTAAATGTCCCCCCATTAAAAATGGAGCTTGTAAACAGTGGATTTACTACTGTTAAAAAGCAGTGTGATCATTGCTTCCAGAAAAAGAAAAGAAACTAGCGTGATTGCTAATGCTGTTCCTGACAACACCACAGAGATCTGCTGCTACAACTGCAGGTGTGCGACATGAACACTGCAGCGGTGGCGCTGTCCAGTATCGTGACACGTATAAGGTTGGCACCTACGGGTTCTGCTCAGGCTTGAGAAACCTCATAGCGGTCATTCTGCTCAGAAGTGAACTCTAAGGCAATCCCTACTCCAAAGAATTTATGATATTAATACTGTTTAAGGACTGCGTTCCACGACTCAGTTTGTCACAGCGCAGCTGAGTTCCAGCAGACCAAATGCATCTTCAAAGTCTTAAGGTAATGTTTTTAGAAGTGATATGCATGAAAATTCCAGTGAGAGAACACAAAGCCTGATTTATATACACGGGAATAAGCAAATACAAATCTGAATCTGTGCACAAGCACTGGAGTTTTCACACATACATGCAAGCGAAGTACACAAAATCGCACACATTTTCAGAACGTGACGTCTGCAAGAATATGTACAGCAACTGCAGACAACCCAGAAGACACACTGAACAGAGGATGAGCACTTTGCTGCTTTTGGCAGAGTATTTCTATTCCATTTACTGGAAAAATTACTAGAAAGTAAGAACAAACAACTCAGCAAGGAACTCAGCTCTCTGAAGCATCAATCACATCTCAAAAACCAAAGAAGAGCAGTTAGCTCATATGTATTTCTGTGTTGACTCTGAATTATCTAATGAATAATACTATCAAGGAACTTGATGGAGTGCCTAAGAACAGCTCAGCTCTTACATCATCCCTAGTTTGACAAGGCCAATTTGATACTAGGGAAGTTTGCTGCTACAGAAGCATGTTCTGCTTTATACTGGTTTATAGCAGCAAAAAAATCATTTACCAGGTAGAGCTGTCTGAGAGATAATGTTCGTCATGATATATTTACACTGACAAACCCTTTCTAGTTGAGTCAAGGCATCAGCATTTTCCCTTTCCTTTCTAAATCTAATAAAATTACACAGAATTTTCAAAATCTAGCAGTGATCTTAAAAGATGTTCTGTTTATTTATATTGAATCTGAAAAAGGATATTAATTTCCTCAATTGTTGAAAGGTACAGGTTATACTTAATAAGAAAGGTAAAATGACTTCTTTGCAATATGTTTTTGGACGTCAGCCAGCACAGAGTCTTTAAAATCAGGTGGATCTCCTCTTATTACAGGAAAGACAATGTATTTAATGAGAGTGATGAACGTTCAGGTATTCTCCTATTCATACATGAGATCCTAAAACTAACTGACTAAAAAACTGTGCACATGTTCTTAAAACATATCCACTGAGTTTGACTTTTGCTTATATTAACTTTCTCCTTCTTTGAAGTTCTTTTTCTGTGGTATCTTTGACATTTCAGTTTACTTGATTTCCATTTTGTCTTCACTACTACTTACTTCTCTGATACAGAAGGTGTTCAAGGATTAAAATGCACAGAAAAACTGTCGTAGCTGAAGTATCTAAGTAAAAAAAGTATTTTAAAAGTCAAAAGATAAAGGCTAGCATAAAAACATAGGCTGCACTATATAAAGTCAGTCAGGTTATGAACAGATTCATATATTTTAGCAATGTGAAGAAAATGGTTATGTAAATACACACAAGTATTAACATCAAACTGTATTAAATTATGTAAACATACACATCTTCTGTGATCAATACAAACATCTACTTGTCTCCGGTTACTACTGCAGCATAGCTCGAATTTGTTTTGACGTAGATTCATCATTCAGGTGTTTTGTAGTGAACCTGGAGATGAAAAGTTAAAACAATATTTTATAAAATGAACAAGGATTAGAAAAGTCTGAAAACTTCAGTGCCTCTTCTTGAAATCAGTGTGGTTCAATTACACAAAGGAGGAACTTACACGTTCGTTCCTCTAGTCACTGGTCACTGGAATTTAACTCCTGATACTCTGGTGCTCTTTATCTTCTAAATATCCCTTGCAATACATTATTCCCTGTTAATAGGTGGCTAAATTCTGGCTAAATACTGTTTGGCATCCTGACATTGTACTAATTTTGGGTCAAAATTATCTCTTTTTTTCCCCTAGTTAAACACCTCAAAAGAAGGAAATATCATGGGAAGACATAAGAAATAGGGTAAATACTAAAAGGACTTGGGAATCTAGATTGAATTTTGGCAAAATCTGAAAGCCTAATTTAAAGCAGCTTTCTTAAATGTCCTGGGAGGATTGAAGAGCTTTAGTGTGGTTTTCTTCCATTTATGCCAAAACATTCTTCCCTGCTTATGTTTGCAAGGACATCAATTATCACAGAATTTAACTCCACATCAATTTTAAGTCAAAAGACCTGATAAGGAAATACAGAGGTGTTATGGCTGCAGTTCTCACTGTATCCAAGCATTCAACATCTAGAGAACTGAAAAACTTGGTACTAAGATGCCCTTTTCCTTCAGAGAATGTAAGACCCTCGAGTCTTGCTTCCCAAGGCAGCACCTTAAACCCTTAGCTATAGGATTGGGAT